ACTTTGCACCACATTGACAGCCGTTCCACCTCGTCCCGGTAGGCTGTCTCGTCGTCTCCGGAGATGAGACCCAGAATGGTAGTATCATCCGCAAATTTTACTATGGTGTTACTAGTGTGAGCCGTGGTGCAGTCATGGGTGTAGAGCAGGGGACTCAGCACACAGCCCTGAGGAGAGCATGTGCTGAGGCTAATGGGTGAAGAGGTGTGAGGTCCTACTCTAAACTTTTGTCTGAAACTCAGAAAGTAGTCATTGCATCTACAACTGATTAACTTTTGGGGGTCAATCCTACTTAAAATGACAGCCACACTTAATGGATTAACAATCCATGTGCACATAAACATTCAAACTTAATGTACATGTGGAAACTGAATTACACATTTATATACAAAATTAACATATATGCCTTAACAGGTTTGCAACAAATATAAATTATTTAACATTTTAATGTGTTACAAACAGCTAATAACCTAAAATTTAAATACTTGTGTTCACTCTGAAAGTAACAGCAGTCAACAGAGGTACTTGAACTCATCATTCAGCGAACTGCGGTAAAGAGATACCTGTCAGATAGAAACTACAAAGCTTTGGTTTTATTATTCCGGTGCATTTTGTCATTGACAGGTGGATAAAGTTACGGAAAAGCAGCAGAAAACACACCTGTCCTCTGATTTTCCAGCTCCAGCAGCACACCTTTGAGCCGCTCGACTTCTTGCCTCGAGCTGGACGCTTCTTCTTTGTATCTTGCTACTGTTTGTTCGAAAACCTGAAATATTTCCTCGAGTACAGTCGTCAGTCGATCGTTTACAAAGGCCCTAAAAAGCAACGGAGACATTTTAAACCGAGCTGCTACGAATAAACACCCAGAAAATATGTTCAACAAAGAAGCTAGGAGCTTCTTCTTCGTTGAGGTTTTACGACAGTTTACGTCTAAAAACGGCGCTTTGCCGCCACCTGCTGGACAAAATGAAAAAAAATTCCCACCAGCAAGAGTTTCGATAATGTTGGGAGTATTACAGTACTGTATTCTAAAAATCTAAATAAAATTTACATTTTTAAATAAACACACTGAATAAACCACGCATTTTAAAAACAAAAATATACAATAATGTTTAAAAACAAACAAATACAATAAGTAATGCATCTTGTTACAATTAAAATTACATTGTGCAACTCAACAGTTTTAGTTTAGTTTTTTCACACACACACACACACACACACACACACACACACACACACACACA